TTTAGGGTGTAGGGCTTCGGGTGTAGAGTTTAGGGTTCAGGGCTTAGGGTTCAAGCCCGAGTACGACCCGAAGAGATCCCGAACCCGACAGAACCCATAGAAGCAATCCCTTGCAAAAGCAAGACAAGCTCCAAAATGCCTGCAGATCGAAGCCCGTGTACAAAACCACATAGCTCTCGCTCCCTGGACACATCTGCAAAAACTGTCGATAACCTCGAAAATCATGGAAACCACAAGTTTACAAACCCACACACCCACCAAAAAAAATGACTAAATCCCTTAACCCTAAACTCTAATCCCTTGACCCTAAACCCTAAACCATCCAGCAAGCTCTGGGGAACCTCCTCCACAGGCGCCTCAGAAGTCGGTCCTCGGGCGACCTGCTCGGCTTTTTGTGGGCGGATCCTTCCAGGGTTTAAGGAGTTTTGGGGTTTAGGGAATCAGGGGGTTAGGGAATTAGAGATGTCGGGATTTAGAGGGTTTGGGGTTTTAGGGTTTCGGGCTTCGGGTTGAGAAGGGAAGGTTCTACAGGGCCAGGAATATCGTTTCGTCGCACTTCTCTTTGGGATCCTGCAGAGAGGCTTCGAAAAATGCATCTTGATTGGCCTGGCTAGCAGGTGAATGTCTCCACCAGACTAAGTATGTCCTGCTTTCATATGCCGGAAACATGACTGTGTGGATGAGTCTAAGAGGGAAAGGGGTCCCTGAAAGGTGTTCAAGACCAACATACGAGAGCACAGCCCCTAAACCCTAAACTTGTGTCCTGCCGCAGTATTAACTGGGATTCTATGAGGCTTCTACGATTGCTTTACAACGTCTTCTATGAGGGACTTCTGAAGTATCTAGAAGGTTATTGCGAAGGCGTCGCTTATTTTACGGTTGCACAAAGTTCGCTTCAAGGGTCTTCTGATGATTTTTTCGTTGGTTGGGTTTGGGGTTTAGGGTCTGGCGGTTTGGGGTCGAGTCTAGGTTTTCGCGTGAACGGTTTGAGGCGCCCACAACGTTGGAGGCTTTGCTAAAGACCGCTAAACCCTAAACCCTAAA